AAGTGGTCACCAGCCACTTTCTTCACCCACCCACGCCCCAACCTCTTTCATGTCAGTTAGAAATGGGTATTTATTGCATACTCTCCTTTAATATTTTCTCTTAAAATATACTCAATGTCTGAAATATATTCAGCTCTTTTCAGTCAACTCAGCAGACTATCTCCTTTTCTTTTTTAAAAGAAATCTAGATAAGAGGAGACAGTAGCATGCAAACAAAAAGTGTGAAAATTGCTATGACGCTTGTATCATGGTGGGCTGTCCCCAAGAATAAGTCCCTAGTGGCTTATGCAGACCCTCCATGAGAGCCCAACTGGCCTCTCGAACCTTTTCCACAATTTGCCACTTCTGAGTGCTCATGCCCTCCTCTGCCTGGAATGTTTCTCTCCCTCTCCCAAAGTCTCTCTTCGTCAAAGTCTTACTCAAGGCTTTAAAGAGTCACCTCTAATTCTGTTCCTTTTACTCTGCTTTTCCAAATTTTTATCATCAACTGACTTCCTTTTCCCTTCTTCTGAAGTTCCTTAGTGAAATATGCAGGTATCATTTACCTTGGAAAAGTCCACTTTGAGAAATCCAATTTTAGAATCCTCTTCTTCAAACTTCTGTCTGTGGTTATTTTCTACCTGAAGTTTCTTTTTCTATGGACCACTCTATTTCTTCTCCCTGTCATATGTTTGGCCACTTTATAGCATCAAAATGTGTGTGTGTGTGTGTGTTTTGTCAGAGCAGTGCTGCTAGGCTGTATGGTGGGGTGCAGGTGATAAATTTTTGATCAACATGAAGCAGACACTTTCTTTAGGGTAAGGGCAAAATCAGAGGCATTTTTATAACTCAAAATATTTATAATGATATTTTTAGTAGAAAATGAGCACTTTGCTTTTTTTTTGGCTTGAAAAACTTGAGCAAAAGAAATGCTAACTTTATATTTTCCATGATGTAGTTATCAAAACTTTGATTTCCATTATCTGAGTGTAAACAAAAATAAAGGAAAATGTATATATACACACACACATACATATACATAATACAAATTTGCAAGTATGTAGGTGCTCAAGGTAAATACAAGATAGAATATATTGAAACAAACATTTAAGGTTACCTGAAATAATATAAAACAAATTTATCTCAGTTTTGTTAGCATGTCAAAAAGCCACTTCATGAAGAATATTTTTTCAGGATAAATTTTAGAGTAGCCTTAAAAAAAGATATACTAATGTCTATTTTCTTGTTGTGTATCATGTGTACAATTCATTCCTGAAATTTATTTCTTGGTTTTATCACTACAAAACACTCACACCAAAACAGACCCGGCAAATACTTTTAAATGGAAATAAAACATTAAAACTAAAGAAACTAAAACTCACAGAAACAGAAAAAAACATTCTATACTTTATTATTTTAATTGATTTGAAAATGTGTAAGCACTTTGATAGATTCTATTTTATATAGGATTTGCTGGTTTTCAAAGTATATAATACAACAAAAAAAAGTAAAACTAGCTTCTTTTTTCTTGCTCATTGGAGCTATCACATCTCATCTATCAGACCTCTAAGTAGAATTTTAAAAGTGGGGTACTCTCTCACGCCCAAGTTCTATGTAATTAGCATATGAATGTGTAACGGATTATTTGAAGTAACAATTAAGGGAACAATACATAAAGGAACTGAAGAGAGCTACCAACACCTGGGAATCTTGTATTGAAAAAAGCTTTCTTAATGTAAGTAATTAAAAACCAAGGACAAATGCTCATTGTGTAGCATTGAAGCCCTACAAGGAAAGCTAAAATCTGCTGATATTTTGCTGTCATGTTTTAGACTGAATCATTAAAACAAAAGCTTGCTGTTTTATTGATTTCAATGGAATACTTGTTAAATGTGGGTTTTGTTAGGTATTTGAATCTTCTGAAATCTTCAGCATGCATTTATATGGCAAAATGTCTCACTTTCAAAAAATATTTATATTTAAAACATACAATAGATGATAAATCTTTTCCCTATGACCAGTGCAAAGTTTCAGAGGAAAATTCCAAGTGATGGCCAGGTCAATTCAGGGATACAGTCAATTCTCTGTAATTTAGCTGTCCAAATAATTCCTGTAGGTGAAGCTCTAGCCCACTGTATTGCTTCATTTTGTTTCTCTTGAAGGCATACGTGCTATAGGGCTTTCTGCTCAGACAAAACCCCTTAAGAGAGTAACCAGTAGCTCAGGATTGTTAGGAATCCTTGATATTGGGGAAGGCTCAGAGGGGTACAAGGCAGGAACCATGCATTATTGTTCCCATTTTCGTCACTTACTACCTGTACAAACCACTTACAGTTCTTTGGCATAAATTTCCCTATCTCTAAACAGGAATTTTTTTTTTTTTATAGAATGTTAAAGTCTAAGTCAAATGACCTTTGAGGCCCTTTCTAACATCCAGTTGTACATATTCCTTGATCTTGAAGAAACACTTGTCCCCAGAATTTAACCTTAAATGACTACCATTTTAAGGGACAACTCTGTTTGAAGAGTAAATTATGAACCTAATATTTAATTTTTAAGTAGAAAAACAAATATATACATGATTATTCATAGCAGCATTATTCATAATACCCAAAAAGAAGAAACAGCCCGAGTATCCGTCAGTCGATGAATGGATAAAGCGTGGTATATCCATAGTCAAAATAAAAATGGCACCAAAGTTAAATGGGGAAAGAAGACTTTATTCAAGGCTATTGCAATAGGGGAGAGAAGCCAGAACCAAGTCGGAACTCAACTCTGATGAAGCAGAGGGGGTATGGTTTTTTAAGGACGGGGCGCCGTTGGAAAACTGCTGCAGGATGTTAGGGGGAAGTCATAGGCCATCTGTGTTTGCTAATTGGCTTTAACCAAAGGAAAAATAAACTCATCTTTATGACAGAAGATAGTTTTTGCAACTTGGAGCAAGGCACCCCAGCAAAGTTAGGCTCCTACACTCCCACAGAAACTGGGAGATGAGAACTATTTCCTTTTATGGTTGCATTTCAAAGAGATGGTTTCCCTATCCTTGAGAAGTACATTGCTGGTGGTAAGTGTGGCTATTAGAAAAGGTTTACATCTCAAAGAGGTAGAGAAAGAATTAACAAATACGTTTTCTAAACTAAAAGCTCTCAGAAAAGGGAGGTCAGGGGCCTAGCATCAGGAAGAAGCCTGTCCAAAGGTTAGTCAAGCTGAGGGGAACTTTAAGGCCTTTTGGTCACCATAGAATGAAATATTATTATGCAATAAAATGGAATGAAGTACTGACACATGCTACATGGATGAACCTTGAAAACATTAATTATGCTAAGAGAAAGTAGCCAGTCACAAAAGGCCATATATAGTGTAATTCTGTATATATGAAATGTCTAGAATATGCAAATCTATAGAGACAGAGTAGATTAGTGATTGTCTAGGCCTGGGGGCTATGGGGTTGGGGTTGTGGGTGGAACTAAAGGATATGGGATTTCTTTTGGGGGTGCTGGCGATGTTCTAAACTTGTTTGTAGTGATGATTGCACAACTCTGTGAATATACTGAAAGCCATTAAATTGTACACTTTAATGGATAAATTGCATGATGTGTAAATTATCTTTCAATAAAACTGTTATAAAAACAAACATGTTGAAATGTGCTAAATGGCCAATGGAATATTTACCTATATTTATGAATAACAAAAATTTTAAAACAAAAACAAAATGCATTTCTCCAAGGTAAGTTTTGGTTTTGAATAATCTATAGATTCAGAATGTGTATTTCTGGTAGCTGTCTTATTTTTAATTTTTATAAAATAATTTAGTAGTTGCTTATTACCGTATTGTACTAATCATAGAGTATATGACACGGAAGAGAGGAAGATAATTTCTGCAATATCCTTAGATGTTTGCATCCCTGAAATTGGGAACTGTCAGTAAAGAGAAAATAACCATGTAGCAAGAGTAATAAGAAATAGAGTTTATTTTGCCACCTGATGAGAAAGATAAATATACATATGATACGGTATGGTATAAATAAATCTTTGCATTCAAATGAAAGCCATATTGATAGAACCCCAGTTCATGAATAAATATTGTTACACAAGTTCATTAGTAAACTAGCTGTTTGTATCCTTTTCTACAGAAACAGTTCTGTCCACCTGATCAGGTTCCAAACCTAGCTCATAAGGTTTATTTTACCCATAATGTAGCTGACATGGAGTACTAATGTTAGTACAGTCTGTGATTAAGGGACAATGGTGCAGGAAGGAGGAGGATGAGTTATCACATCCTCATTTCTTGAGTGCCAGCGTGGCTCCAGGAAAAATTTTGAATTATGCAGAGTAAGACTGGCTTCCATCCATTTTCTTTTCTGTATCCCTTGCCCCATGTTCAAGATCTGGATCCCCTATCTGTAGGTCATGGGGCATCCACTACTTTTATGATGCCTCTAGCTGCCCGCTGCATTATTGCACTCAGGCATCTCTGTTCCTCCAAGGGGCAAATTCACCTTCCCTGTCTAACGTAACCCTTCTTCCAGCCAACATACACACATTTAAATACCCATTTCCTCAAGGCAGCTAATTTTGTTTTGCATTATAAAGGAAGCACATTTTGAAAACACGATAAGCTCTGGGTGTCCTAGAAGGATTTACAGATAAAACTTGAGTGGAAAACCTACAAGTAGCTCTAATTTAGTAGGAGATTGAACAAGCTGCCCTTTCTGACCCCACTCTCTCTTTGGGATGAACCTCTCTAGGTTGCTCCTGCTTTACCCAGAATATTTACTTGGTCCTTGCGTAAACTTCAGCATTCTTTAGGTGTGCCCCCTAAAATTTACGCTGACTACCAGAACAGGGACAATGAAGGCTATAATGGTGGTAGTTGGAGTTGGGAGGAGACATTGGGAAGGTGACATAGAAAGGAGTAACCAAGGACCGTTTGTGGTATGAATGATTAGGGCATCTTATATTTTTTTAATTTGGACACACACTTTTCTACACATTGATAAATTCATTTTTCTTGGTTACAGATTGGGCTTATGGATACTACAGACAACAGAGAAAACTTGTTGAAGAGATTGGCTGGTCATATACAGGTAAACATTTTATTATATAATGAGATTCAACAGAAAACTTTATTGTTTTCTATTTTTGTATGTAAAAGAAGACTTTGTAACTCACGTCATTTTAACTTAGCTACATGGATATGCAATTAGATTAATAAAAGTATATCATATGCATAATGATTTTTAGTGGACTTTCCATTAGCGAATTTGATAGTGTAGGGCATATTGGTATCAGATAGAACTGGATTTGAATCCCAGGTCCACACTAGCTATATCTCCTTGAAAATAATTCATAACCTACCTGAGGCTCAGTTTTTTCACGTGTGAAATGGAGGGTTGTTCTGAGCATTAAATGAGATAAATGAAGTTGGCATAGTGCCTCCTTATAAATCAGAGGGCTCTCAATAAATGTTAAATACTATTGTTGTTATGATCACAGTAGTGATTTTTTTATTCATTTAGTAAATTTTGATGGGATTCTTGCTATCAGAAGGAGCTTCTTTCTGAATTACTGTGCTGAATTAAATGGAATCAGAGTCTAAAATGATTGTGTACAATTTCCGGACTTGGCATAGAGCATCGTGAATAGCTGAAGTTGGCTTAAAATAGTTACAACCAGAAATCCTGATCAGAAACCCTAGGGGAGAAGAGAAGCTTTAGGCCTGAGAGGAAGAGCATGGGTGGAATCTGGATGGACCATGATATGCCTGTGACCATCTGAGACAGAGTTGAGGGGTAGAGTTGGGTACTTACTAGAAATGAGATTGGGTTGATAAGATGGAATTGGATTAGAAGGGCTTTAACATGTGCCTAGCCAATTTGGATTTTATTGTATAGATGCAGGGCAGCAGCATGATGGATTTTTGTAGATAGACGTGCATTTTATGTCTTTTTTTATTCTTTCTTTAAAAGTAGTAAGTATTCATTATAGAAAATTTAGGAAACACGTTCAAGCACAAAGAATATAAAAATCATTCTTTACTCTGTCCATGGATATCCACTAAAAACATTGGTATATTCCATTTGGGCCTGTTTTTATTATATTACGTTTGTATATTTTGTACATGGAGTTTTGCATCCAGTTACTCTAGAACTTATTTTTGAATATTTCCTCATTTCACTGATGATTCTTGTTGATTATGGTACTTAATGTCTGCATTCTATTCTATTGAGTAAAGGTTTTATTTTTAACTATCCATTATTTTTGAATATTTAAGCTACTATAAACCATGAAAAATAGGTGAATAGATTGATATAAGTTTTTATTTGTATTTTTATCATTTATGTATTATCATTTATGTATATCCTTGTTATGTAATTACTTAGTAGAAAAAAAATAAAGGCCTTCACGGTTCTTGACACACACAGTCTAATTGCCTTCCAGAGGTTACACTAATATATGGTATAAGTACATGGCCATCCCACTGAATGCTGTCCACCATGTGATTGATTTGATTTGATTGACAAAAGGTAGAGTCTCTTTTTTAATTTGCATTTTCCTGATTATTTAATTTCTTGAATCATCGCTAACAACAGGCTCTAGGTTAAGGTTTTGGGAGGACATATAATAGATAAATACTACTTGAGGTAACGGATATGTGAATAAGAATGGTAGATGTGAACAACTAGCATTCAATAGTGGGTGATCCATTGTTTATCCTAAAAAATTTCAATTTTTTTTTTATTGGAAGTGTACATGTTATTATCTATTTGAATAGATTTGCATCTTAGTTTCTCTAGCCCTGGGCCAATTTTTCTCTATTATATACACCACTCATATAACATAAAGATTTTAAAGTAAGTTATTTTGAGTAATAAGTAAATATAACTTTTAAATACTTTTACATTACATTTAAAGTAGGAGTTTTAAGTAAAGTAGTTAAACAGAAGAGGAAAGATATTTGCCCTTAGTCTGACTTTATTAAAATAATACTAAGGCTAAAATAATATTAACAATGAAACAATCATCAAAGAAGATCAAATACAAAGACAAGTCCAAAAGAAAAGGTAAAAATTTTGTAGAAAATAATTGCTAACATGTTTTTCTACTTCTGAAACATTTGGGAATTTTGAGTATTCAAATATATTTCTGGTTATATGGCTCAAGAATATTGTTACTTTTAATGAATTACTTAAGAAAGTCTCCTTAAATGACTTTGATTATAGTAAAGAAAAGCCAAAATGCTTCTCCTAAAAAATTTTTTTTGGCATCTTTATATTCTTTAATGGTAAGTGTCACTTATTTTTACAGAGGGGAAGTTGGTTTTAGATAGTAATATATATGCATTGATATGAAAGATGAATTTTTCATCTATGTTTTTATATGTACTACCAATTGGGTTCTAAGTTTAACTGATGTAACAAAGTATCATATTATTGTCTTTTCAAAAATGTTTTATACTTTGTAACTTTATATCTGACAACTATAACCCATTTTGTCTTTCTTTTTCTCCAAAATTGAAATCCTAGTGTTTTGTGAAAGTTACAGCTAAATTTTGCCTCTAATAATTATGAGAGACATGTTAGGAAAGACTACAAATGCTTGGAGCACGTCCCTAACCACGGAAGATGACAGCACGATGGATAGCCCCCCTATTTCCCCTGGAAAATATCTGCTGATGTCACCATCTGGGCATTATTTAATACAGGGTATCTTTTTAAAAGATTTATTTAGATATCAGCAGTAGTCGTTTGGGAATGCTGCTTCCAGGATAAACTTTTCTCCAAGGAGTTTTCCGTGAAGATTAAAATTCTACATGTTTTGGCCTGTTACATTTATATTTTTATTTTTAACTATCAAGAATATCACAAGCCATCTTTTAAAAATTCACCACTCTATTGTTGTTTAGGTCATTTTTGCTATGGATAAAAAGTAATATATAGCTGTTGTAGAAAACTTGATACATAGAGGTATGTTCATAGAATAAAAAGCATCCTGGTTTAGTTCTGTTTACTAACTTTCTAGTTTCAGAAGTAGAACTGAAGCAGATTATTTTCCTCTAACCAGCGAACCTTTAAACAGAGAGCACAGATATTTACCAGGTGTGAGTAAATGAAAAACAAGCTTCAATGCATCCTCCATTCTCCCTAAACCTAGACTCAGAAGATGGAGGACCTACAACCCATGGAGAGAGAGGGTTACAGTTCTTACCATCGCAGGCAAGGGCCAATGTGTGTTGACTGATGGAGTGGTAGTGGTGTGTGTTTTCCAGCAGCCTGGGTTCCCAGAGCAGATGAGTGTGCCTCATCAGGTTAGAAGACAGCAGTTTTACCAGTGGCTTAGGCAGATAGTACTGTGGGTATGCTATTATCTTAGGAGGAAGTCACAGAGCTCTTCCTTTTAATGGGCTAATTGCATATAGACATGGCACCTATAGAGTGGCCAGGCTCTCATGGATGGGTCTAGGTGTAAACCATGCACAGTTGTTTGCTTTATCGTGAAGTTGTACCCTCCTGCTCGTAACTTAAGCCTATGGCTTCAGCTACTTTAGGAGACAGTCTAGTGATCAAAGGGGTAGACTCATTAAAAAGTGTCCTTTGCTGTGGGGGGAGGCGTAGTAGGTCTCAGAAAGTGATGTTCCAGAGTTGGGATGAGAGTAGAGTTTCAGAGGAGGACATTTTACAACTGCTTAGCTCAGACTGAGTGTGGATTGGTTATTTTGTCTGAATTCCTAGAGTGTCAAAAAGAAAACAAATGAAAGCTTTTATCCAAATAAACGTATCTCTCCCAAGCAAATCACACTGAAGCCATGTATTTAAAATGTGGATTATTCACTATCAAGTTTAGTGTCTCTTTTTACTTTTAATACAAGTAGTTAAAGGTATTTTCAATTTCTGTGTTTATCATCCCATCTCAAAAATGAAAAACTATACTAACTGTATAAGATTTCAGAATAATTTAGTTTTAAGATTCTTAAATTTAACTAAGCGATGAATGGCTGAAGTAAACTGGTTTTGACCAAACTTAGCCCTAGTTTTTTTCTAACAGCTTGTTGAGCTATATGTTTCTGTTCTGTCTTGTATTGTGCTGTCATTTAGATTTGTCAGATTAGCTGAAAGTTTAGAAGGAAGGACTTGCCCTTGAATATTTGTACATATAGAATTCTACTAATAAAAATTACTAAGACCCTCATAACATCTGTCTGTAAGAGAGCTCATTGCTTTACCATAAGCCATTTAAAAATATGGTAGGCATGTCAAATGTTGTTTAAATGGAATCACTTAGGCTAAGATTGTTTATGAAAGATTACACAATTATAATATGTGAAGAAACAGTAGAAATCCCTGCTGGCTGCCAGAAGGGTGGAGAAATCGAGGGTGGAAGAGGGGAGCAGGTATTATTCTTCCGGTTGTACTTTTTCGCATAGGTTAAAAACAACTTTTCTTTTCAGGATGCATGCTGTAATTATGCTGAGAAATGACAGGGTTGGTAAATACAGTCGACAGTCCCTTTTTTAAAAGTCATTATGGGAAGATGAGCACTGAGACGAAACAGGAAATTGTAAATCTGGGAATGTCAGCACTAAAATCCAGTTCTTTTCATAGTAACTTTGTTTCATTTAAGGGTTTCAGAAAATGAATTTCCTTCTTCCTATTAACCTTAAATTTTAGACAATGACTAAACAAAGACAATTCAGTGAAAAAAAAAAACCTAAGTCATTAGACCTTTCTTTTTTGATGTCATGAATCATAGCCCACGATTATCATCGGAGGTGTTAAAATATTCCTTCTGTTTGAGTTGTTAGGTCTTCCTAGCTTGAAGCAGTGATAAGATCATGAGAACTGGATGGACCTTAACGGCCCCCTTCTTAGAAGTAGCCACTATTGAAATGTAGTCTTTATTTCCTGGACTTTTAAAAATATTCTGTTGTTTCTTTTTCACCATGCTTTAAAGCAACTTGAAATTGAAAATTTTGTATTGAAATATTCTCCTGTGTTCTTAAACCTAGACACCTTTAATGTTTTAATTAAAGAGTTGCGTTGGATAGAAGTTAGGAGTCACTATTAGACACTTGGCTGAGTACCCTAGA